AGTTGTGAACGTAGCTCACCTTGTGCCGCATGATGAGCTGAAACAAGTTCCTTTTGCTGAATGCTTATTGGAGGGAGAAGCTTTTCAGCGGTTGCTGCTCTATGTAGTTGTGTAGAACAAGCCGTTTGGGTACAGGATGTACTACAGTTCAAGCCTTCATGAACCCCCTGACTCATCGGCTAATGCTGAGACCAGGTCAAAAGCAAAATATGCAAAATTCGAAATAGCTAAAGCAGAGGAAGCGACTGAGAGGTTTGCGTTTCGTGCGGCTCTAAGCCTACACAACTCCAGCTGCTTGGCATGGCATTCTTCCTTGTGCATAGTGGGTAACGAGTTTGGAGAATTCACACGCCCACACCTGCCCTGCATTGGAGATCCCTGCTACTTCACTCTGCTCAGGAGGCTCGGGATAGCATTCGAGTCTTTTATCAAGCATCATTCTAAAAGAGGGTTGTCGATGTGACTTCGGGTGTGTGGAAGAGGCACCAGGATAGGAGAGGAGCCACCTGCCCTAGTGCTGCGGCGCCACTTGGGGTTTACCACAAGGCTTGTAAAGTCTTTACATTTCTTCCCTTTTGCTTGTCGTAAGGGCTGAAACCATAACCTTTTTTCCGTCGCACTGGCTTTTTTTTCGCCTAATTGGGGGTCGGCCTGAGGCGAAAAGTTCTGGGCTGCCTCGGGAGTAGATGGGCACTCAGGATAAATACGAAATGTGAAATGCCCCCTCACAAAAGCCGCAAACGCTCCTCTATCAACCACTGAGTGCGGCGTTCTCCACCCCACATCACTAACATCTCCGTTCTAGTGTCCTCGGCGTTCAGCAATCCTACAAACCAGCAAGTCTACCGCTCTCCGTGGATCCTGCGCCTCCACGCGGGTAATTGGCTGCGCGGCAAAGTCAGTGAAAATGTGTGGAGCTTCGAGACTCCTTTAGGATGCAATGTTGGTAGTTCAGTGGCATGTCCAACTTTTTGAGAGGTTGATAGAGTAGGAAGGAACACACATTTTATTACAGAATCCAAAAGGTCCTCTCCACCTGGCCGCAAAAGTCTTCGTCTGGTCACGCACCACAATAGAAGCAGGTACACTGCAGAAGGTTGGCTACTACTGCTTAGGAGAGCACGTATTTTATGGTTTTTCCTCTTGATCACTCAAGACAGTAAGCTAGGGTCGTTAGACTCTGCCTGGAAGTCCATGGGTTCTGAATCCCAACGTGGCTACTCTTGTCCAGCGAAAGACGCGACGCTGTGCTCATTTGCCTGTAAAGCCTCAAACAGTCCGCCGTTTGTGGAAGGTGTTCTGGTTAATTGTCTAGTCGATGAGTAGCTGCCCATCGTGCGACCACCTAAGGTGATACTTCGGGTGAGCCTGAGACAAACCACGTAGATAGCAGCTGTTCGTCTGAGTTGTCGCTCTTGCAAACTAAAGTCTCATATTGGCTTGCATGGCAATTTACTAATTGCTTTCTCTCCTCAAGCCTTTTAAGTTCTTGGGTAGTTTTCTGTTGACATGATCTCAGCATAAGCCGATGGGTCAGGGCCCATGTGAAGGCTTGAACTGCAGTACTCGCACCCAGACCGCTTGCTCTACATGAATAGAAGTAGCACAGAGGTGCTATCTTTACCAATATGCATGCCTCGAGACACACTCGTGATTATTCGTGGGAACACAAGGCGAAGCGGATGCACGTTCGGCTTGTGTAAACTCAAAGTTCTTGCCCATGCTTACGGCTGTCATACTTTTCTGGCTGAAAGGCTCCCCATCGACGCCTCCATGAACATTCTGTCAACTGACAAATTATGCGTTCCAAGGGGCTGTGGAGCTATTGCGTTCATATCAGCTGGCATGCTGGCTTCTGCCTCGCCAACCCGTGTCGCGCCACCGTCAACTTCCATCGGTAAAAGGTGTGTTCTCAACTGTCGCCGATGAAAATCAAATTGTCGAATGGCCAATCGACTTGAGCTAGCCCAGACAACTGTTGTAGGAAACCCCGACCTTCCATTGCGTCCACATCCATTTAATGAGCAGGGACGAATTGCATTGAATATCCTAATTCTACCAACTGTAACTCTTCGTTGTCTTGTTGGGAGACGCGAATTCCGACTGAATATGAACTCAATAGGAATTCACAGCTCCTCAAAAGTGTTCCTTTAATCGCCCACCCGCGTATTTCGAAGGTTTCGATAAGAGGGTTGAGGAACAGCTGGCATAAGCATGGCTGCATCCCCAAACGACTCCAGCCATTCACAGCATCGAACTCGTTCACACAACATTGAGTCTTTTTATGTCAGGCCGCCAGTCCTCCTTTGCAAGCACCAAGAAACACAAAAAGCCAAACCAGGCGGTCAATTCTTTCCGAATTCTTAGTCAATATAACTAATGTAGAAGAAAGCATTCTGAAATGCAGCGTAGCCCACTACACCTGGCCCCCGCAGCGGCCTAGCGAGCTTGATGGGATGCAGTTCTACCGGTAGGCTTGCACTGCCCCTTCCAAAACATGCGAGACTGCCAAAAGTTTCTATCTTGTTAAAACCCAAAGAGCTACAAGGTCGGAGTTGGTATGCCAAAAGCGCGACACAACAGCCGTTGACCATCCTCTCTTCACTAGCCTCTTCCCAATGGTCCGTGAACCACAATAGCTTCTAGTCCTTAGCTACCCACCACTCTTGGGCTTTCCTCCAAGATGCAGGCCCCTCTGCCTGCCCCTGTGCACTAGGTTCCATTTACTCCCATTCTGTCCCTCTCTGCAAGTATCTGTCACTCGAATCGTGTCGCCATGAAGAAAGCCGAACCGATGTGCCCCCCGTGACACTTGGAGCACAAAGCCATTGCCCTTGAGCGGCCCTGCACTTCGCCCCTCCGCCCCCTCCCCCCTCCGTCTCTGCTTTTTTCACATGAATACTCATCAGGCCCAAAGCTGCAGTCCTGGCCGTTGCCTACGCCCAGCACAGAGGGTAACAGTTAATGCAACCCTCGGCTGGCGCTGCTACTGCTACTCCAGTACAAGCAGCAGACGGTACAAACGAACTAAGCTTCGTGAGTGGGCTTTACAATAACAACAGCAGAGGAGACAGAGAGGTGCGCAATAGAGCAGGAGCTGTTGCTGCTGTTGCAGCCGTTCCAGCAACAATACACTACCGCCAACTGTGACAGCTGTCGCTGTCACAGCAACCTTTGTAGCAGCAAGCCGCTTAGCCCCGTGCTTCTCCGTGAGCTCCTGACTCTCCAAAGGAGACATACAGAGAGCAAGCCCACGCCTATGGCCGAACACAACAGGCTAGAGGCGGTGAGGGGCGGGTAAAGGGACCCTAATGAAACCGTTCCCTATATGGGGCCAGTGGGATGTCCCCAAACGCCATCGGTTTTACAAGCAGTAAACAGTGCGAGGGTGATATTCGGGATGCCGGTAAAGATTAAGGGAGACGGATGCGGCAGCTAGCGCTAAAAGGCACTCAACTGCGCCCACAGCAGCCCGCATTGCTGCGAACAGGCTGAGAGGGACCAATGCGAACGTTCTGCTGCTGCCTGCTCTGTTGCTGCCCCACCTGAACGCGGGCTTTGATCTCCGACGCCATGATGTGGAAGGCCTGAAGAGCGCGACACACCCAGAGAATCTTTCTTGTGAATTGAACTCGCAAGCCTACTTGGCAGGGGGACTCACATATGCGAGATACCGAAACACACACGCACATGCAGCAACCGGGCTTGAAAAACCTCCTCGGTTGCACAACGAAGCGCCCTCGCAACATTACTTGCAGCAGCATGGTACCTCTTCAACATTTTGGGCGGATTTAGCAGACGTCTCAATGAATCGGATGTTGCACGAGTCAGCGAGCTCCTTGCCCTCCTCGTAGCTGACGACCTTCTTAGCCGTGAGATCCGATTTGTTGCCTACCAATAGTTTACTCACGCCCTCCATTGCGTATCTGCGCCTCGTCAAATGCACAGCAACACCCCCGGTAGCTCCCCATACAGCTTCCTCAACTCGCTGCCTCTATGCACGCCTGGACACAGCGCTAGCGAACCAACAACTAGCGCAGCTGCAAATTCTAGTCGCTCGCTAGATCGCAATTTAAGCAAGAACAGCTCACCTCTCAATCTCCAGCATCCAATTCTTGACGTTTGCAAACGACTCTCTGTCCGTGACGTCGTACACCACGACGATGCCATGGGCCCCCCGGTAGTACGATGATGTAATGGTGCGGAAACGCTCTTGCCCAGCAGTATCCCACTGAACAAAACACCTCAAAACACGACTCCTAATCATCCTAGATCTTTGGCTCTAAGACCAGTAGACGACTTTCCGCGGCATCTCCTGGTCCTTGGGAGCCGTCTTTTCAGCAGCAATCTCAGCACTCGCCGAAAGAAACATGCAACAACGAAAACGGCAGCAGCAGCGGCAAGGACAGCAGGCATACTATCTGGAGCTTCACTGTCTTGCCATCTAAATCGATGGTGCGAATTTTAAAGTCCACACCGATGGTACTGATGTAGCTCTCGGTGTACGTGTCATCCTGAAGCGTGCAAACAGGAACCACATACGCACACACACACATCAGCGCATCCTTCCACGCCCCTTCTAGATCGACGGGCACTTAGAACTTATCCGAAAAATCCACATGCTCGCGCAAGCCGCTCGTATTCTTTCGAGCCAGTGCTTGCTTACACAGCTCCAGCTAGAGAACCCACACATAGGGGGGCTGGCTCCGCTTGCGGAGGCTCAGAGCATCACAATCGGGGCATAGGGTTTGCCTTAGCTTACGGCGAAACGGAGAAGAAGACAAGACTTCCCAACACCAGAGTCTCCGATGAGGAGCAGCTTGAATAGAAAATCGCTGCGGCAGAAACAAATACAGTGCAGCGGAGCTGCGGTAGCACGACACAGGCGATCGTGTCGTGTCGCAAAACCCTGGCAGTTGCAGCCCCTCTGAATCCCCCGTTTTGGTCTAAATTTTTGCATCTTCTGCTACACCATCAGATTAATTCGCTCGCCATATGTGTGCGCGCAGGAGGAGGCTGCCTTTGCGACGATACACCTCGAGTGAAGGCTCAGGGTTTATGGGCGTACTACTCAGGCTTCATTTTAGAACGTTCGAGGCGAGCAGTATCGGTGTACGGAGTGTGCGTAGGCGGCTGTGTGGAAGCAGAATGTGCTTCCTGGAGTCTGTTGCTGGGGAAATAGTCGCAGCAGCAGCTGCTTTTGCAAACCAGAAACACCAGGTGGAGGCGTACGGCGCTGACACCGGCAGCCAAGAAGGCACTTCCTGTGCCAAGCCTCTATCCTGTTGTAGCAAGAAGAGCCCAGAAGCAGCAGTACCCTCAGCACTACTGTTCTGAAAAGGCCTCCAACAATGAGCAGCCTTGCAGCCGCACCAGGGAAAGTGTCAATCCCAGTTTTACCGGCAGCAATAGCTGCAGCCGACGAAATGAAAGCCGTCGTTTCGCTACTGTAGAAGCAACAATAGCACCGACAGCAGGGACGCCGTCACGCAAGAGGACACACACAGCAGGCAACAGCACCACCAGGAAGCAGCGCAGGAGCAGCGCGGGGCAGCTGTGCCACAGCCGAACACGAACCAAAGTCCCCTAAGCCGAAACAGAGATACCAGCAAGAGATACTGGAAGTGCTGGGGTTAATTGCTGCCGCTAACGCCTCAGCAGCGGCAGACACAGAGGGAGTAGTCGCGTGAAGCGCAATGTGTCTGCTCTATTGCTGCAGCACAAGCAGCGGTGACGCTAAGGCGCGACTAAGACAGCAAACGGGACTCTAACCACGGCAATTTCGTGCCTTTCTTCCTTCTTTTGGTCGCAAGGAACTGCTGCTACTGCTGATTTTGCTGCGCAGCAACAACAGCAGCAGCACGACGCTACTGGTGCTCGCGTGGCGCTGCCGCCGTTGTTGCTGCTGCTGCTGCCGCCGCGTCTTTGTGTCACCCCCGCTGCTGCTCAGGTTACTCCTACGGCATATATTGTATCAACACCAAATTATTTCCGTTTGACCCTGGTGCTTGGTTACAGATTTCTGCGGCGGCAGTGGGCGTACGGGGAGCAGTAGCAAGAGTGTGTCCTGGAGTCTTCTTGCCTCTCTGCCTTACCTGCATTTTGCTGCCCCCACCAAAAATAGATTTCATTTTTGTTTTCTTGTTCATTCCAGTGCCGTGGTACCCGGCGTGTACGGGGGCTGCTTGAGCTTGTTTGCAACGGCAACACCAGCACCAAAATGTTAGGTTCCGACATTCATTCCCACCTGCTCCTTTGTGGACCTGCCACTGTACTCTCTCTGTAGCGGTACTTCCGGCTGCAGCTTGTGAAGGCAACAGACTCAGCTGTAGCCAAGTCTTTTTAACGGGGATATGAATATACAGTTCAGGAGGGGTAGCATCAGCACTGCCTGTTTTCGTTACAGCAGCTCATGGGTGTTCATGCTGCTGCCGTAACAGGCGCCGCTGCCGCTGTAATTCTTGTTGTCGCCACACGACTTCGTTGCTCTGTTTAGCAACAACCAGCAGCAGGCACAGAAGAGCAGCTCTCAGGAGGCGGGATTGCAGTGAAGCGGTGAGTGTCTCCTGCTGTAAATCTCTTTGCCATATCACTAATTCTATCCAATGCTGTCTATTCAGGCAGGATTCATTGTGTTTGCCACTTCTGCACAAGGTTGGGGCCTGCCGGGGGCTTTGCTGATGATGCAGGGTTGAAGGTTTTGCGATTGGCAGCCTTTTTTTTCTCTACACACTGTGCTGACTCCTGCACGCCCTTCGATGGTCTGTTGAATACAGACTATGCTAGCAAAAGTGGCAGCAGCAATTACAGGCGGGTTTGAGTCTCATTTCTGCTCTGGAGATGCCATCATGTCTCTTAGTTTGAGTAGCGCTGTGCAGGTGACGGCTGCGACTTTTCTATGGTGCTCTTATACCTTCCTTCCTAATGTTGCACGAGGGCAGCCTGCTTTGGCTGCAGGTAATTGTGTGGTGGCTGGGGCCGCAATTACTTTTGTTGGATCTTTGGGACCTAGAAGCTGCGTTGTGGTACGGCTAATTGGTTATATTTTTTCACCTGGTCCGTTAATTGGGAACTAGTGATGATCACGTAGATAGAGAAATTATTCTCCGTATATCCTTGGTATCTGGAGTAACAAGGCTTCAATAAGTGAAAATTAAAGGCTTTAGGCATTTTCTGACATCACACAGTGCTCTTTGGCTCTGCTACCCGAGGTGTGGCTTCTTTTGAGTTGTCCTCAACCTCCTAGTGGAAGTCAGAGTTCGTGGTGCGAAAATTCGACCGGCGGCGAGAAGGGGGGTCCTGCCTGATGCCTAAGGAGGTCAAAGGGCCTTACAAAACAACTTACTAGAATAAACCAACGCCAAAGGTACTGCTTTGATTTGTGCCCCTCTGTGGGAACGGGAAAGGGGTTGCAGAAGGCAGGATGGCACACTACATTTGGGTACAGCATTTGTCCTAACTCGGGGAAAGCCGCTTCTTCATGCGAGCCTGCTTTCTACACGCTGTCCCCTTGTTCACCGTTCATGTGGCGTCCGAGCAAGAGTAGCTACTTCCGCATGCAAGAGCTCCTGGCTACCACCATAAATTTCGTTTTCTGGTCCAGAAACCGCCTCCGGACGGCGCCCTTGCCCGCACATGCAAGCTCTGCCCGTTTCCTGCGGTGGCATGCTGGTGGAGGGAGGCTTTAGGCAGCTTTCCGCAAGCCTTGGCGTTTCGGCCAGCTGCATTGTATTAGGCCGTTTCACCAGAGGGTCCAAAGAGCTCTAGTTTCCGCTGCAACTGGATTCACGGTTGTGTCGAGAAAATCTGGCTGTCGTGCGTGCCATGGAATGGCAGGGTACACTCCTGCGGTTTGATGCGTGTGGCTTAGTTGGTACGGAAGTCGAAGCTTGCCCAGTGGCACACATCATGAGGCTGCATGTAGAGCCACAAAACTTATGTGGTGCAAATGGACGATATGCATGCTGTGACTGAGAAACCAGTCAAGTCTAAAAATGGGCCTTGTGTAAGGTAGTGAAGGTCTGCTACCCGTTTTCTTCATACTGCCAGCTCCAGGGAGGCAAGTTTACTGTATAAGGTAAATGGAAGCCTACAGAGTTTCTTGTGTTCTCGATTTCTTGCCAGACGACTACAGCTATATTGCTACCTGTAGGCTAATGCTTGAATGACACAGGAAGCTGCTAATGGAATGACTTAAGGTTTCCGTGCGGAGGACCTCTAATCCGTACATATCTGTGGGTACAGCCGCACTATCTTGCGATGCCAGCCTGCCATCGCTTTCATTTGCGGGGACGCATGCTGATGCGCGCTCACTCAATGATGCGCAGGAAAGGCCGTGGTTGCGCGATGTGCAATGGAGCCGGGCTATTGTTATAATCAATGACGCATAGTGGGCGTCCCAGGTGTACTGTAGACGCGTGCGCAGTCCGTACCTCCACTCCTCAATCTGCAATCAGATTATCCACCAGCCCCTCAGGCCTCTCAAGCCCGTGGCGGAGGCCCTTGGTTCAGGTGACCCTGTAATTAGAGGTAGACCTATTTGATGTGCAGTGAGGATTGTGCCCCATGTGCGGAGACCACATAGATTGCATGCACCCCCCTCACGAATGAGGCCAGTTCTGCGTCGAGGCGATGCGCAGCCTTGGGGGAAAGCGAACAGGGACACAGAAGGAACACCCGAAAAACGACCCGACCTAACTTTAGCGTACTGTGCCGAATGCTGCACTGCGCAACGCCCTCCACAGGTTTTCTTTTGCCTTTTCAGTGTTATTTCTTGGATCCAGAGAATCACACAGTAGCAAGCATCCTCTATCAATCAAAAATGCAGTATCTAGAGGCATGGATAAGGCAGAAAAAACGGAAAGAGTATGGCCATACTCCTGTGCAAATCCATGGGTGCGCCGTAGAGTGACGGGCTCCGGTGCTGGAAGGGACCCAATGGCTTCCACTGGCCAGTGCGGCACAGCAGGTTTCCCTTCTCTACCAATTGCATATTATTTTGTATGCTTCTGAAGTCTATCTGGTGTAATGTACTCCGGAGACGACGCTGTCCCTCTGGCGAAAACATGGCCGGCTCTTCATATCCGATAATCGCGACACGCCGTATCGACGCAACTAGGGGTGCCCGCAGAGGGCCCCCTCTACGTCCTTAACCGCTGATGTAACAGTTTTAGCCAGCTACAGTTGCAACCCTTGCTACTTTTGACCCTCCTGCTGCTGCTGCTATTACCAGGAGGACTTGGGGCTCACCGAAACTCACAGTACATTCCGGTTGCCGCCGCTGTAAGGCTAATTATTGCTGAGTTAAGCGCAGTAAGACACTGAAACTTTGCAAGCACAGAGCCATTTAGAACTTTCCCCAGCCTTCTTCTCAAGTTCGTTGTTGAAGGTCACCTGTGTGACTCTCAACAGGGTTGCGAAGGGGTCGCCCAGCCTACGGCTCCCGCAGTACAGGACACGTTTAGATAGGGAGTACTGGACCCCTTCCAGTGCGACGGCGTGCTAGCGTGGCGTCAGTAAACCTCACACAGCTCCTGGCATTGATCCCAAATGCTGCTCTCCTTTTCAGTAATCTTGCAGTTTGTAGCAGTATTCACAGTGCCTTTAGAAAGTCCCCATCCTGTTCCTATTGCTAGAGGCCTCGACTCAGGGAACGGTACTCTAGGATACAGCGCGATTAAATCTGCCCACTCAGGATGACGATTCTGTTCTCCAGCCTCCTATTCTCGCTCTCCTCATGTACGTAGACTACCCTAAGGGAGCCCATTAAAAGGGCGCCCTCACCTTGGACCGAATGAAGAGGGGTAGGAAAGCTCGGGAGCAACGTGTGTCTAGGATTCCCAGCAGCATATTTCTATTCCAAGAGTGCATTTGTCTAAAACTGGCCACTCCTGCATGCTAGCAGTCCAAAGCTAGCAGCATTAAGGTGCTCCTTCCATATAAGCATGCAGTAGGTCATATTTTTAGCACTATTTTTGCTGCTGTTGATGCAGGGGCTTGTCTGGCGTACTGGTCCCCTCCTATGCGGGAGGCCATCTCCCTGGTGCTGACGCTTGGGGGAGCCTTTGCAGTATTCTCCTTGCTGGAAGTGCCCCTCAGCAGCCGGAAGCTGCCAAAAGCCCTGGCGTTGGCGGGCCCCCTCGTACCATCCGTAACGCCAGTGCTTCTAACCGGCGCCTTTCTCTTCCTAGACACGTTTGCTCTCAGTGGGGCAGTTAATGCCGAATTGCCGCCTTCGTATCCAGCAAATAACTTTACTGGTACTTCTTGTCGCTATTTCTCCCGCCGTTGCTGCAGCTGTTACAGATGATGCAAGTATGCCTTTAGTGACCCTGAGCCACTGGTGCTTGTCTCCGGGTTGCAGCAACGACACACACCCCTCAGTAGTTGTTAAGGCATGAAAAAGCTTGGCTACTGCTTTTGCTGCTGCCCCTGGAACCGAAGCATCGCTTGAAATACAGATTAGTGCTGCTGCTTCCGCAGGTGTGGCTCTCTGTCTTCGGACTCTAGCGAATGCCCTGTTGTACTGGGGCCAAAATGGCTTCGAGCTGGAGGGGCCTGTGGAGACAGCGGTGCTGCCCCGGCAGGAGTTGCTGTCACTGCTTCAGCCGCAACTGCTACAACACAGTAGCTTTTCCTGTGCCATCACGTTGCTGTTGGGCCGCTCTGGAGAGCTCCAGCTTACGAGTCTGTTGCTGACCTCGATGGCAGCAATCGTGCGGAGCGCCTTGCTGTTACAGCTTGCAGCTGCAGCATATGCGGAGGGCTGGCCAGTACTAAAGCCCATTTTACAGGGGCTATGGGAGGACCCGACACAGTTTCTTGCGGTCTTTAGCAACCCCGTTGCTGCAGTGCAGTCAACCTGGAAGTTAAGCACAGGTGACACTTTGTCGTGGTGCTCCTATTAAAGCTGCTACTGTTTCGCGTGCCTGTGTTTCTTTGTCTAGCCTATAGTGAAACATGGATAGACGACCCGAAACCGATGCGGAGGTTTCAGCAGCACCAGCAATATCTTCTGTCCCCTGCTTCGCGTGTGTAGGGACCCGGCAACGGTTGCTGTTCTTCGGCCTCGTTGTATGTCTCTGCTGTTCCTTTCTACTGCATCTAGCGCGCCTTGCTGTTGTGTCTTCTCACGCATTTAGCTCCAGACAAAAGGAGCCAACGGATACTCAGAAGGAGGGGCAGCAGAAGCAGCGCCAAACTCAAGAGCATCAGCGGATCATGCAGCAGCCGAAGCAGCCAAAGCTGCAATAACAGTTACACAGTTCAGAACTTTTTTAGTAGCCCTATGAAAGGTAGGTTGGTAGAACCTTTCGCTGGTCTTGACCGAATGCAGCAGCAACAGCAGCAGTAACAGCAAAGAGGAGCAGCAGCTCGAAGCTCAAGTACTGCTTTGACAGGAACATCCAGCTTGCTTCGGAGAGTTCACAAATGCAAGTACTATAAACGACTCGTAGAAGTCCTCAGACAGCTAGTTTTATCACGCCTGCGGTGTATCGGCGTCTCCAGCAACACGGTTGCACTTGCTGTGGCAGCATGACCTGCTGCTCCAGTAGCCTCCCCAAAGGCAAATGTGGAGCATTCGGCTCTAGCTGTCTCATCAAAAATCCCTAAAATGCCGCTAGCTTGAGCACGCTAGCGAGCTCTGGTGCTACCTGGGTATGTAGCCAGCTACCGGCTTGTTGGAGCCACGCTTCGTGCCCAAGCGATGGGTCAAGGAGTTGTGGGAAGTCCATCCCCCAAATGCGGATAATGAAAACTAGCGCCAATGGAAGCCATGGTGCCTTAAGCTGCAGCTGTAAATCTTCGCCTTGCTGAAACACTGTTTCAATTGATGCTGCTGCATCGGCTGCTGCTAATAAAAAGTCGTAGTTGCCGAAGGAAAAGGATAATGATGGTGAAGGTGGCAAGTGCATGGAGAATCGGCTGCTGTCATATCTCGTTAGTGTTGTTGCTATTTAGGCTGCTAGCGCTGCTAAATGCGCTCTTGAGCGACTCATTAGCAGCCTGCTCCTAATGCTACCGCAGCCTTCCGCTTCTCTCTGTATGCCCTTATTTGCGATGCGGCAATGCGGTGTTGCCTGTACATCCCAGCACAACAACGAATGTAAGACATGACAGCAGCAGATGACACGTCTGAGAGCAATACCTTGAGCGACAGCGGCAGCACGTACTCAACAATTTGTTCCACTGGAATATTGAAGTGCAGCAGGTCCCTAATATCTGGAAGAGTCTCTTCTTCTCCCCCATTTGACGAGGCCGCTTCTTTCACTGTTGCTGATTCTGCCGTAACGGCTATCACGGGCACCACTGCTGCATCTGCTGCTGCTGTATGCCCCTGGTCGTTGGCCTCTTCTGGAGCCGGAAGAGGCGCTTCCGTTGCAGTCGGTGGCATAGATGGAGCTTGTGTTGCTGTTGGCGCTGATGCATCAACGGGTTGAGAGGGATCCGAGTGTTCGGCCTTCACCTTCACCAAGACTTCAGACACCTCGGCTGTTCCTGCTGCCGCTGGTGCAGCTTCTGGAGCGTCTTGGGTAGATGTCGCCAATGGCCTTCTTCTGGAGAGTAAATCAGCAAGCGATCCCGGCTGCGGGCTCTCGCTCTTTGTGAATACCCCCGCTGATGCACTGGGAGCTGCCACATCCTGCTGCTGGTGCGAATGCTGTTGCCATGGCCAGCGAGGCGTGTTGGTGCAAGTGACAGTGTCAACACTCTGCTGCAGCACGGTGTTAGCAGCAAGATCAGCTGCAGCAATTGCCGTGTTGCATCCAGGGCACAGGCCTGAAAGGCCTCCTCCAGCACCGCTGCTGCTGCTGCTGGCAGCAGCAGCAGGGTGCTGCTGCATGTACAGGATGATGCACGATCTGCAAAAGGTCTCACCGCAGCAAGGAGTCAGCGTGGGTGCCCTGAATAGAGCACCGCAGCACCCGCATTTGAGATGCGAGGCTCCACCTACGTGGCGCTGTATTCGCACGTCGAGCGACGACCCCAGAACGGACAATCCGCCGATGGTCCCCGTCTTCAAAATAGCAAAGCTGCCATCTGTAGGATCGAGCAGCACACACACGTCTCAGGCAGCAGCTACACAGCTGGAAAAATTGCATACAAACAGAGGCATATCGACCTGCGAGCCAGCGGCTCGGGTGGCCTCCTGGCAGGCCTGAGAACTGCCTCAATAGACACGGGCAGTTACACTGAGAAGCGTATAGACCGTCTCCGCCAAAAAAGCCTGTCCAATGAACCCTCTGTTACTGCCGAGTCTGCAGCAGCAGCGGTTGCACGGCGCCATACCTTTCTTAATGTACACTTCCTGGTGCTTGTGGATTTCAGATGGGTCGATGTCTTTCAGAAAGGAGGACGGAAGGCCTGCAGCCGCACGCATAAAACGCGCAATATGTACTCTGTATATGCACGAGGGGAGGTCTCTCAGCATCTGGCCTGCAGCAAGGGGCGAGCTGGTGCTGCTTGTACAGCAACACCCGGCGCTGCATTTGTTGGCTGCTCCAGGTGGATGCTTGCCTGTCGCTGGTCTAATCTTCTTCTGCTGCTTAGCATCTGCAGACTTGGGGCAGTTCTTGATGTGGTGCCCCATTTCACCGCACATGTGGCATATGTAATCAGGGGGCACTGCTGTTGCTGCTGCCGCATAATGCTGCTGCTGTTGCTGGTACACCTGCTGCTGGTGCTGCCGCGCTGCAGCAGCTGCAGCGCCGCTGCTGCTGCTGCTGTGAGAGCGATACGCAGAAGGGAAACTCGTGGCAGGGCCCCCTTCCTCCTGAGGTCGTAGCCACATAAGGTTGTGGCTGCCCTGGGTCCTACTGTTGGCGCTGCTGCTCTCTCCCCTGAGAAAGCCTTTGCGAGTATCGTGCACGTCGAGCACTGCCTGCAGCAGCAGCCGCTCCTCATCTGTGGCTGCTGCTGCTGCTCCAGGTGTAGCGTCTTCGCTGCCTAGATAGGGCATGCTGGTGGAGTTGGCTGCTGCTACCAAGGATGCCCCCGCACCACTCGAACCAGCAGCACTGGGAACGACACCAGTAGGAGCCTCATCGCGCTGCTCTGAGGAGCTGACTGCTTGCTGCTGATCGAGCATGTGCTGTTGGTACTTCGCTTCTGCTTCGCGCTGTGCAGCGGCGGCGGCTGCGGCAGGCTTCCGCTGTACGAGGATGCACAGCGGCTGGTGCAGTAGCATGCTATCTGCCAGGACCTCATCGGGAGACTCCTCAAGAGATAGCAGCAAGTCAATAGCCGGGAGAGCAGCTACTCCCATCTGCAGCTTTAGATGCGCGCGAAGCTCTCCGCAAGACACAGGGAGGGTCAGGCCGACTGGTGCAGTGCCAGTAGACGAGCCACGCAGCCGCCAACGCAGCGTAGATGAGTCCGTTGTGATGGACATTTTTGTAACCGCAACGACTGGTGTTTGAGCCACTGCGAAAGACGTAAATGTTGATGGAAGACCCAGGGGGAAAGGCTGGTGTCGCAGCGACAGCTGCTGCTGTTGGTGCTGTTAGAACGAACAAGCAGCAGCAGTCCCTAGTGATGAGATGCACCTCCCCTTAACACACAGCTAAATATGCCTGCAGAAGCGGCGACTACAGCGACTGCGGCATGCACTACCTGGCAGTGGCTCCTGGTGGAGTTGGCACGCAAAAGTATGTTGCTCCGGTTACGAACCATATTCTAACATCAATTGCATGAAATAATCCAAATACTCGAAATTGGGGGAGAAAAGTTACCCGAGGAACACGAGAAGGCAGAGCCTCGTGATTTACTGCAGTATTCGTTGGGCCCCAGCAGGTGCTGCTCTTGTTGACTCAGCTGCACTATCAGTACAAACGCATGCTATGAAGCAAGGACTTTCTCCGACTTTAAATAGTGTGAAGGCGTCAATAGCGGTCATATTTTTCATGCATTACTTAACCCCACTCCAGTGGCTTCTCAGTGGGCTTCCCTGGCGAGAAAGTTTTTCAGGTGACTAAGGACCTCCACGGAGTTCCTTTTGCTGCAGCATCACGGATGTGAGTCATGCATGCTGTTGGACGAGGTTGTAAAGCCGCTGCTGCTGTGGCATCCAATTGCATGACAGCACGTAGCCATTAGTAGGAGTTCCCTCCCCACTCGATACGACCTCGGCTACTCCTCCTGCCACCCCCCCCCCCCCCCACCGGCGTAAATCGCAGTGTTGTGTGCACTTGTTTACGCATAATTCAGTTGCATCCACTCATGCTGCCTGTACAAGATCCCGAGCGGCAACCAGCACCTGCTGCAGATGTTGCTGAATTTAAATAGAGACCGTGTATCGCAAGAACTCTGGCACCAAGTTTGGAATGGGATAGACTACATGTAGCCACTTTCTACAACTAGGTTTATTTTCATCAAGATTTAGTGAAGAACTGACGAACTCATTTTCCGATGGTATTTCGTGTCCTTCGCAGAGCACTGTTGCTTTGAAACAAGGCGCACTGCATTGGGCATGTGCATTAGATGCTCGGGGCACCTAGCCGTGACTGCCCTAATTGCTCAGACAGTGCAGCTATGTGCATCCTAGCTCTCCCTTCACGTCTCAAACCTAGAGTTGCGTGAATAAGGAAAGGCCGGAGCTAGCTTATAACAGCACCCACAATCTTTCTGCTACGTTTGTGTTGAGTCTGTGGTTAAGCCGCGGCCAGCGAAGACCTTAGATCGAACGCTGCAGTTGCTAGCGTCGGATGGCTCGATGCAGCTGTTTCCAGCTGACCCAATAGGTTTGAACGCAGTGGGTTGTCAAGTTGCCCCAAACGATTTGCGTGTTTTCGATCAAGTCATCTTAGCTATTCAGTTGGTTGAGTTTCTTGGCAACACGCCGAGAGGAAAAAAATCTTTTAAAGATGAAAATATCTGCTAGTGGGAGGCCCGCTGGAGAGGCGGCCGCTTGCCTGCATGTCAATGTGAATGCAGTAGCTCCGCAGCTAGTGAAAAGAGTTAGGATGTATCAGCTGCTAAGGTGCTATTGTGGAAGCGTGGGGTCAGTTTTGCGGCGATCCAAGTTTACATTGAAGGTCGAAAATTGGTAGCATTACTCGACGTTGGATGTGAAGTCAACATATTTACCGAGGAAACGGCTTAGAAGAGCAATCTGCCTGCCCATGTGTAAGTGCACTTACCTTAAACTGAGTTTTGCTGACGGAGAGCAGTACGCAAAAGCTGGTCAGGCTGCCATAAATAAAGTTGATAGAAATCAGGGCCTACCAGCATGGTCCGCTTTTTGTATGTTGAACCCGTACACCATGACCTAATTCTGGGTAGGCCATGAGCAAACCAATGGAAGGCGCGCGTGCGGGCACAGCTGCGCGTTGTGGAAGTTATTGCGCCGAAAGGCACTAGGAAGAAGCAAATCATGATCTTTTCGATAAGGATTTTAAATAAGTGTTCAGGTGGGCAGAGTCGGTCCCGTACCAAGATAAGGCAGAGTCTCCGCGCGGTCGGTTCAGCAGCGCAGCACAGGACTGTTTTGAAGAAGCATCCCGTCTTAGTGGCTCTGCATCTGGTTCGCTGTTAGAAACTTAGACAAGTAGTTGAGCAGAATAACAGCAGAAGCCAGCAATCAAAAACCAAATCGCGATCGCGGGTGTACTAAACATTGAGGAACTGCCAACAGGCAGACCACCTGCAGGTTGGCTAGAACGCTGTTTTCTGTAAATCCATGGGTCAGCCCCAAACTCCGTTCCGCTGCGACGGAAGCCCTCATATTCGAAAACAAGATTGGTCGGCAAGCTGTTGGAAAAGGCAACGTGTAGGCATAGCCCAGGGCTCCTCGGTGTTGCCGGGGGTTGGTGCCAAAAAAGGACGGAACGTGGAGCTCATGCGTTAGCTGTGAGCGCCTAAACAAGAGCGCTGTATATCGGAAACTCCGAATGCTTCGCAACGCTAAATCGCCTCACATTCTAAGAGGCCCACGAGTCTTAACGACATTTAGCTTCCAGACGCAATCTTACATATCCCTATTCACCCTGACGCCAAGCGCAAAACAGCGCTTCATACTCGTGTTTGCAGCGTCGAGTACCCTGGGTGCCGGTTATACTCTTCAATATCCCCAAAACACTACAACGACAAGTCTAACAGCATTGTCAGTAGCCTGTCACGGAGGACTGGATGGCTGTCTACATGGACCGCAGCGTAGGGTTTCGCCGAAACGTTCAAGAGCATCTACAGCACCTACGGCGTGTGCGTCAGCTGCATCGAGCAAGCATTGGTACTCAGATTGACGCAAGTGTATATCTTCCATGAGCACAATTGTGTTTCTGGAATTCCGTGTGCGTTTGGCTACGGGAATCAAGTTAGATCCAGCAAAACTTCACCAAGTTGCGCCCTTTAGCTTTAGGCCTTTAGTTTTTAGTTCGAAATACATTTTGTAAGTCGAATGCGTTTGCATCTTATCACCGATACTTCAACTTTGAATATGCCTGGACCGCTACTCCTGTGATCGATCCATATGAGAATAGGCTGGCTGTGGCCGGCACAGAGG